TTCCTTGCTCAGATAACACCCAGAGGCAAAATCTTTGTTCTCAGTGTCATGTAACTATAATTTAATAAAGAATTCATTATTAGGAAAACATAAATCACAAATCAGATTTGGTATTGACTAGAGTTTGAAAGAAATAATAGGCTGATAAGCATTTTCATAAATACAGCAGGTTCATAATAAATGCCTAAAGTGTTTATTGTCTTAATGTATTCATTTTTTAGCCATTTAAATTACATTTTACAGTACCAAAAGTGGCTAATTGAGTAATAAAGACAATATTCAAAACTACAAAGATTTTCTTGGCATATTCTCACACAAGGGAGTATTGGCATATTTTCACAGATAGCACATAACACTTTTTCATGAGTCATTGTCTTGAAATAATTTTCTTTCTAGTATTATAATACTTCCTTATAGGAGTTTTGATACTGCAAATAAACTCTACATCAAATGATATTTACAACATTATTTTAATATTAAATAAATCATATTTTAGGGTTTTTAAAAATAAAACAACATCAAGATTTGCAACAAGTACTATTACCACTTTCTCAGAAACTAATTATAATACACATTTGGTTGCCATGTGGTTTAGGCACTCATTTCAGAGAGTCAGTTGTGTATAGGGTAGTGATTCTGCCATGGTACCTGTCTCCATTATTTTCAACAAGATCCGTAAACTCTTTGTGATTGAGTCTCACCTGTTGAACTAAGCAGTAACTGTCACTCTGGACCACTGAAACGTCATTTGTATCACGTTCTAATCACCTTCATCACAAGGGCTGTCTTTACTGCTTTAAAACTTAAATGTTAATCATCAAGCAGTTTCTCCTGTGAGGCAGCTACCTTGATAACTATGTTAAACATTTTCCTATTTTTTTCAGTCCTTTAAAGATTCTGCATATTTACTGGGTGTAAGGTAATTTTCTTAGCATGAAAAGAAGAAGAATGCGCAATGGTTGGGGTTTTAATACCCACAAGAGAAGAGGAGATAAGAGACTAGTTACCGTCTTAAGCTTATACTTGAATTTCAAAGACATACTTGCAAAATTTGGGGGCTATTTAAAAGTGACTATTAATAATAAGAGCACCAGAAAAATGCCCCCGAATAGGGACAAAAATACTCCAAGAGAAGTAGCCATCTGAATGGGACTCAGTTGGGGGAGAAAATGCTTTTTACAACAAATTAAATTCCACTTCGATCTTCGCACAAATATGCAGTTCAAATTAATAATATAAAAGAATTGTGAAAGTCCCAAGTTAATACATGAAGAGAAGACATATTTGGGGAAGATGAAATATTGGTGGCTTCAGCCAAAGACAATGCAAAAGCATGGTGTATGTGTTCCACTTCTGGCATGGCCAAAGATGTTCCTGCCAGGCCAATTTCACCACAAATAACAACTCAAATCCTGGATAAATATTTCGAATAGTGGCCTGGAGGCAGTGCAGATTGAGCAGAGGCTGGAAGATTATAGAAGGGAATCAATTTGGAAGAAAGAATGGCATGGGGTAATTTTCCTGTGTTCTTAATGAGTTTAGCCCCAGTGCAGATTGCAGTCAGCACTAATAAGTAAATCCTTGATAGAAAATCCGTACTTTTTCTGTTCTATAGAACCAGAGAACAGAGTTTGGAATAATCATTGCCACTAGAAAGTGAGGGAGATGTTCCAAAAAGGAGATGGCCAGAGAGGCGGAGCCCAGATCCTATGCACAAATTTCAGTCAATTAACTAACCAACCTTAAACCGTGCATACATAAGGCGCTTTGGAATGAATTTTGAAATAAAATGTTCTTGAGTCCAAGATAGTTGCCTGCTAAAGTGTAGAAAATCAATACTCTATTTAGGATTGTAACAAGATTCAGAGTCTCTACATCTTCAGAGTATTCAAGAAACAATTCAAATCCAGTCAATAGGTGAAGAAAGACAGATATTTCACTCATTCTCGAGAAAAGACAACCTATGGAAAACAATATCCAAATGAACATATGTTGAAATAAGCACATAGGATATTATTTTAACTATTTTAATTACACTCAATAGCGTAAAGAGAAATATGCTCTTAATAATCAAAATACAAATAGTTTCATCAGAAAATAGAAACTAGGAAAAAGTCTTAAATAGAAATGCAAGAATCGGCCAGGTGTGGTTGTTCATGCCTGTAATCCCAGCAGTTTGGGAGGCTGAGGTGGGCGGATCACCTGAGTTCAGGGGTTCGAGACCAACCTGGCCAACATGGTGAAACCCTATCTCTACTAAAAACACAAAAATTAGCTGGGTGTAGTGGCATGCACCTGTAATCCCAGCTACTTGGGAGGCTGAGGCAGAGAATCACTTGAACCTGGCAAGTGAGCCAAGACTGCACCACTGCAATCCAGTCTGGGCGACAGAGTGAGACTCTGTCTTAAACAAAAACAAACAAACAAAACAAAAAAGAAACGCAAGAATGGAAAAATACAAAATATGCAGTAAGCACACAATAATTTGGGCTTCATAGAGGAATAGAATTGACAAAGAAAGGGGTTGGAGAGACCAACAGAACTTTTTTTAATCTGAACAATACCAAGGTTGATAAGCAAAGTGAACAAAGCTTCACGGACCTGTGAAATAATCTCTGAAGTTCCAATATCCATGTAACTGCAGTTCCACAGCAGAAGAGAAAGAAAATGGGACACACAGACACACAATTATTGAAAAAAAAAAAACTGAATATTTTTCAATTAGGTAAAAGATAAATATAGATTATAGAAACTCAGCAAATTCCAAGTGCGAGCAAACATCATTAAAATGAGTAAGTATGTAATAGTCAAAGTATTTAAAGCCAAAGAAAGAATGTTTTCACAAGCCAGAGAAAAATGGCATATTACATACATCCAAAAAATGTTTCAAATATCTTTTTCTTGTCAGAAATTTTAGAGGTGAGAAGACAGTTGAAAAATATGATAAGGTAATGCAAGGAAAGAACCTACCAACCCACAGTTCTACATCCAACAGATGTATTCTTCAGAATATGAAGGCAAGATAGAGACAACCTCAGATTTTCCACCATCGTGTTTTGGGAGAAGATAACTTGTTTTCTAGCTTCCCAGTTCTGTGGATGAAGGGATTTTGCCCCATTGTGGATGAAAACGAAGAGTCTCACCCATACCTAATTTAGATCATTTCGATGATGAGATTTATAACTTTTTGAGTTGATATTAACGTGACATGTTTGATTTCGAGTTAATGCTTAATGGGTTAAGAATTTGGGGGACATTAGGATGGGTAAATGCATTTTGCACATGAGAGAACATGAAGTTTGGGGCGCCCACTGGTGGAGTTTACTGGGTTAATTAGTGCCACCCTCCTCCGCCAAAAAATGCCTGTTCAACTGGAACCTGTGAATGTGACCTTATTTGGAAATGGGATTTTGCAGATTTAATGATGAGGTAATCATGGATTAGAGGGATCTGTAATCGAATGCAAAGTATCTATGGTTACCTCATAGGAGGGAAATGTGGACACAGACACACAGTGAAGACAGCCACGTGGAGACGGAGGCAGAGGTGGAGACAGAGGCAGAGGTGGAGACGGAGGCAGAGGCGGAGACGGAGGCAGAAGTGGAGACGGAGGCAGAGGCGGAGACGGAGGCAGAGGCGGAGATGGAGGCAGAGGTGGAGATGCTGCCCCAAAACCACAGGGCGCCAAGGGCTGCGGGCCCCTGAGAAAACTAAAGGAGGTGAGGAAGGATTCTTCCCTGGAGTTTTGATGGTGGGGGGGGGGGGGGGGGCCGTACTTTCACTTGGATTTCAGGCTTCTGACCTCCAGAACCAAGAAAGAATAAGCTCCCTTTGTTCAAAACCACCCAGTCATGGCACTTTGTTACAACAGCCTAGGAAACTAATACAGGAATTAGTATTAGTAAAATCATGATTGCTGACTCATATGACCATCCTCATGGAAATTTTAAGATAATATATAAATAAGCAACTAAAACAAAAAGAAAAATTTAGCAAGTTTTATGGTGCCAGATCAATATACAAATAAATATCACTATATTGCAATGGAAACAATTACATAATGTAATAATAATAAAGTAATAATACAAGGAAACTTTCCACAATAGCTACCAAAAACTCTAAAGTAGCTATAACTAGTGTTTCAAAATAGTATGTTCAGAATTTTTACATAAACAAATATAAATTTTAAGTTAAAAAGAAAAAGAAACGGATAAATACATCATTAATGAAGTTTCAATCAAAATTCATACATGGATATTTCACAGAATTTGACAAGTATATCTAAAAATTATTTTAAAGGAGTCAAACAAGCTTGGAATTATTTGAAGAAGAAGGTATTTATCGTTTTGTATATTAAGAGTCACCCCAAGTCTCCCGGGACTCAATGGTATCACCTCTCTAACAAAAAAGGTCACAGAGATATGAAAATACATCATAAAAAAAATCTATCATTTTGTCACACAATGGATTTGATCACCTGTGCGCATGGAAATAACCTTATTTTAAATCCTTGTTTAGAGTCCATTTTAAGGGATAATGTTGCATGTGAAGCTCTGTAATCATTCTTTTGTGTTAAGTGGTTGAGGAAAACATCAGCCTGGTAAGATGTTAATTATAGGTCCAGGGAATAACTTGAGTTAGTAAATCAGAGATGAGTCCAGAGTTCTGTAAACAAGTTTCAACATTTCTAGGCACCTGAGATTAAGCACAGCTCTGAGAAGTGCTCCACACGTTCCTAAGTATATGATGCAACTTTTACTCTGGCAAGAAAATGTAACTAAAGCTAGTATCCGCCTTAGGAACATGAATGATGAAATGGAGACTTCACATTTGCCAGATGAATAGGACTAATGTAGAAAAACAAATCAAACTGTCCTTGACTCTCAGTCAGCCCCCTTCTCAATAACAAAAGCATCCACATATCCACATTCTCCATTTATTTTAAGGTCATTATAGTATTGATATTATACCAACTTGCAAAAATAAATTAAACCACTTACCACAGGGTGTTTCCAACATCATTGGCACCATTAAATAACATTCATTCAGAACTACTTTTAGGGAACGTAGATACTTAATGTTTACAGACGAGGAAATCTGAATGGTACAAAACAAACAGAGACTTATTCAAGGTCTCACACTGACTCAGCAGCAAAGGCCACGTAGGAAGAGAATGTTCCTGAAGTAGCACATTTTGTTTGGACTACAAGACCAACTGAGTTATTATCTTTATTTGAAAATGATTCATGCAAGTCTGCCACAGATGAAGGCAAGCTGTAGACTTCTTACTTAGACTTTTTGTGGTTATTAAGGGAAAGTCTCAAGTCTGGGGTTTTTTGTTTGTTTAATTTCTCATATTTTTTATCTGAAAAAAAAAAAACAAACAAGGTTCATTCACCTGTCAAGCAACAAATGACTCTCCACAAGAAGGCAGGTTTTGATCAATAGCAGTTTTATTACTTGGCTCAAGTAAGGGGAGCACTGGGTGTATTCTCCAAAGCAGTGTGTCCCTGAGGGAAAGTGACAGGAGGGTTTTATGGGGTGACAGAGAGGGGAGAGGGTGCATCATTGCATGTAGAGGAGGCGTCCCAGGGGCACAGACACAGTGTCATCATGGCAGCACACGGGTCGCATGTTAGATAATGGAATTGCAGTTCCTCCAGGATGGAGGTGTTACACAATCATGAGGAAGATTCACCAGGATTCATCACTAAGTTGCCAGGGTCTGTCAGGAACTGGTTCCAACCAACTAGGTTACTATATTCCACCCAGGGTTTAGGGAAGACCAGCCTGCAGGGCAGGAGGCTGTAAACCAGGCTGATGGCTCACATGGATGAAACTCCTATGGTTCCTAGAGACCGTCCTTGTCTGCTTACATGTCCTAGAACTGAAAAATAAATTGAAGAAGGAAGTGGTTATGGTGGTCACGCTTCTGAATTCGGGTATGCCCCTCCTACCTCCCCCTACTAAGTAAAGAAAGAGTAGTCTTAATAGTATTTTTAAAAACCCCTCCCAAAAACTCAAAACATGAAACTTTCTTTCTAGTTGATCTTTGTACCAAATGATTTGCCTAATAAAGGAAGAAAATGGTCGAGCTCAAATAACCACAAAAATGCAATATCTGATTTTCCTAAATGCACTTTCCTAATGTGACAACCATTCACAAAAGCAAATATCCACTCCAGATTCTATTGGGTATGATACATCTCAGAGACTGATACTTCATCTTATCACCTGAAAATTAAATAATTTTATTACAAAAAGAATTAGTAGATTATCTTGCTATATCAAGTTTAGCCTAGAGCTGCCTCCTTACTTATTTTAAGTTCAGCTTAAACGTTTCTCTGTATGTAATGAACTGTAACCTAACTGGACGTGTAAACAGACTGTTACCTACTCTTGCGCCAATCGTGGAGTTTCAGCCAGTCACAGGGAGTCAGCTGTTCAGACCATGTTTAAATAAGGCAAACGCAGAGTTATAAGCAATCCGGCTGTTTCTGCACCTCTCGACCATTTTCTGTACATCTCTGTCCTTTTTCTGTTCATAAATCTTCTTCCATCGCATGGCTGTGCTGGAGTCTTTGAACCTACCCTGTCTCGAGAGGCTGCCCCAGTCAGCAACTTGTTCTTCGCTCAATTAAACTCTATTAATTTAATTTGACTAAAAAAATTTTAACAATGTTTACTAGTAAATTTCATTTTTTCTTGTAAAAAAAAATCCTGAAAACAGGAGTAGGGAAAGACTGATGGCTAAAATTAAATATAGTTGACTTTAATATTTTAACATCACAAGAAAATTGCATTGGTTTGGACTATAAAAGTGATGCATAAATCTTTCACTTCAACAGCACCATCACCATCATTAAATATTTAAAAAACTCACATATGAAAAGAAATATGGTGGGGAGGGAAGTAGACAGAAACAGTTAAGAAACTAGGACATAATCGGACAGCAAAATTCCTTTTGGTTTATTTTTTGCTTGTTTCCTTGTTTAGTATTCTCTGATAGCCAACGAATAGACAAAATATTCTAACAGCCAACGAACAGACAAAATTGGGCAGCTGCGTCTGGAATACAAAGGTACAAATTCTTAGAAAGTTCCTCTGAGCAGATAATCTTCCCAGAGCCTTGACACAAATGTGATCATTAGAATTTTATTTCTCTGGGTTAAAAGTAACCTCAGGGGAGACAGCACTGTTGAGAGGCATTTACTTCATTGAAAATTATTTTGGCATAACATTTAAAATATAAAAACCAGCTGGGAAAATGAGAGACCCTGGAAAATGCAAAACCCTATGTACATGGGGCCTATGCTTTAGGTTGGAGAGTCAGGACCCTTTGGGAGAGAGAACAAACTAAATGACCTGAGTTAAGTGACTTGGTCACTGCTGCAAACTTTGCTTCCTCATCCATTAATTGAAGATAAAAAAAAAGTAAGAACCTATCTCACAGGATGGCAGGGAGGACTAAATTAGCACAACAATGACCGTCAGAAAATATGTGCTCATTAAACATTAGTCATTTATCTTCCTCTCCTTCCTCTCCTTCTTTATTTCTTCTACCAGCATCACCTCCATTGCCACTTCACAACCTCACTACCTCATTGCTAATTTTGTCTTAAGGCATGCTAGAGGTTTAAATAGTAAATATATTGCTTTTCACTTATCATTAGCAAAAGCCTTTACCTATAAACAAGAAGCAGCTACATTGGTTCCCTCAAATGTTTTTCTGAAGAGATGGAGGTTATCTCAAAACAGTATGTGACTTTTTCGTTTATGTGCTCCCCCAAAAGCATCTGAACTAAAAAACCTGAGTGTTTCTTCTTTTCAGGTCTGAGTTTTCAGAGTCAGGTAAATATATCTTGTTAAATATTTCTAAATTATTTTCTCTTGTATGATTTTCCTTTAGAAATTGAATTCTCTGTCTTCTTTGGGTTTTGCCAAAAGGTTCATAGATCATTTAATTAAATTTCACAAAAATACCAGGAGGAGGTACAATGACTATAATGCATAGTTAACAGAGAGATCATTATGTCTGTGTCTGAGGACCTGGATTTGGCCTCTGATTTCCCTGGACAGGGTTTTGGGCTTCCAGTGAAGAAGTCTCTCAAAGAAGGACACTCTGCAAGTCAGGCTCCCAGGGCTGGCCATCACTTAACCTCTTCATATAAGTTGTTTGTTTATGGATTCAAAAGCAAGACAGTTAACGAATGTCATAAGCTTCAGCTTGAAAATTTTATTTTTTATTTATTCAGAACCTACCACATAGTACTTACTCAGAATAATATGTTTTTTATAAATTTTATTTAGATATTTACTATTTACTGATTATGTGCTGTGCTATTTGTGATAGAAGGATCCCAAATGAATGCAATGTTGGCTTTTATCCACAAAACACTATAATGATATACATGTAAAATATACATGTGAAAATAACAATATTGTAAAATCATAAATGGTATTTAAGAAGTGGAATATTACAAACTTCGGCAGAAGTATAGAAGTGTGTATAATATGTTCTTTCTACATTTCATTCCCAGAATATTTTTTTAAAATACATTCTATTTTAAAAGTAAGGGAACTAAATATTTAAGTACAAAAAGAAATAGAAAACCATTGTAAATATATAGCTAACCCAGGCCAAAAATGTCTGTTTTACTAATTCTTTTAAATGATAGGTTAGTCACAAGAAATAAGCATCAGATAAACTGAATCAGTTTCTCATTACTTTCTATTCGACAAGTTAATTTCAGGTTTATACATAAGATGAGCAAGTTTCCAAGTGCTTCTAATTCTACTTCATACAATGATACTCCCTAAACCACCTTGCCTGGGTGTGAAAGAGGGTGAATAAGGTCTTAAATACAATATATCTTCCTGATGAGATAACTGTAGACCTATTTGTGAGAGAAAATTGCTGCACGTAAGCATTTGTGTTTGTTTTATATTCACTTAAACCATGAAGAGGGAAATGAAGGTTGAGTGGAAGCCATAAGACTCTATTATAACAGCTCATGAAAAATTACAGCTCAACATCCAAACATACATCTGTCTGTGTCCCTGTGTGAATTAATACAGTATTTTAAGGCCAACAACAAACACAAATAACCAATTATAAAGTTATGGAAACTACTTTTTGCTGATAACTGCAAAAACACAGAAATAATAACATAAGTCATGGAAAACTGTGTAAGACCCAAAAAGATAATGGCTAGATTATTTCAACCAAGGCTTGCTTTGGTAGTCGTAGAAATAAATCTAAAGCATCCACTCTAAAGTATCATTAAACTTTTATCAGATCATAGTCAGAATGCGTGAGGATTAAAACTCCTTTTAGCTGAATAATGCATGCTAAGATATACATCGTTCGTGCTAAGGTAGTAATCATCTCTTGGCTAATGAGCTTCAATGGACTGATGGGCATTAAGCCTGTTTTGAATGCAAGCACTCCTATCTTGACAACAAAAGGGGAATGTTTTTATCATTTTGGAAATGCAGTACAAGCATGTAAATGTGGGCCATGTTAGCTTTCGTTCCAGTAAGGAATTAAATTACTTCTGCTTACCATTTAATATGATCTTTGAGTTGTTGTTCCAATGAGCTGGGTGACTCTTCAGCAACTTCCCTGTGTGTTTTGTCTTGAAAATCACTTATTATTATACTTATAGCTCCTTTTTTACCAGGGAGTATCCTCCTGTCAAGTGACCAGCACTTCCTTCCCGACGTGCTCTTTCCTTTTGTTAAACTTTTAATCAGCTTTTTAAATTCACACTGAAGTATGAAGAGCTACTTCCATCAAGGTGTCATGCCTTCCTGGTGTACGTGGATTTTTTACCAGAAGTGAATGAGAGAAAAGAAGAAATTTTAGATCTCAATTAGAGAAGGTGACAAAGGTGAAGATAATGGGGCTTTCTATTTCTACCCCATCCCCTGGCCCTTGCCTGGTTGTAACACTTCTCCCAAGTCCAGCTGGACACACACCTATAGAGAAAGGTACCTACTCACTTCCCTTTTTGAAAACAGGAAGCCATGAATTTGTCTTTTGTGAAAGCCTGAGTCTCCTTGTTGGATATAAATTTTGCCTAGCAGAGATGCCACTTTTATATTTTTCTTTATGACTATTGGCCTTCAGAGCAGTCTCAGTAATCTTTTTGCC